AGGAGCGGCACTTCACGACTCCGTTGTCCCTCTGTGCTAAAAGGCCGCAGCCCTGGAACTGGGATAGCACCAACACCCCGCCGGCTAAGCCCAACAAGAAGGGCAAGGGCAGAGGCAAGGGCAAGGACGGCAAGGATAGCAACAAGAAGGCTAAGACCGCCACCTTCCACCGCACCGAGGATGATAAGCCGATTTGTTTTCGGTTTAATTTGAAAGGTGGCTGCAAGAAAGGGGATAAGTGCCACTTCGTGCATGTCTGCACGAAGTGTCGGGGACCGCATTCGGCTATCAACTGCCCCGGCGCGGCTACGCCGTCGACAGCGGCCAACTGACTACCGGTGCCCGAGCCGGCTACTTCGGCTACACCTGAGGCGACACCTCCACACCGGCGGCTACAGGCTCTCTACCTCTTCTCGGGAAGAGAAAGGCTAGGTAGCTTCCAAAGCCACCTCCGCCGGCTAGTCTCTTCCTACGGGCTCGATATAGATATCTCTTGCGTGGATCTGGCGAGGAGTCCGCCCATCGACCTGGCTACTTCCAAGGAGAGGGCGAAGTACCTCCACAAAGTTCAATCGGGCCACTACGACATCGTGGCTATTTCTCCCCCTGTGGCGACGTTCTCTAGGGCGAGCTCGGCCAACCGTAAAGGTCCCCGGCCAGTCCGAAGCTTTGACGAGCCCAGAGGATTGTTGGCAACATTTTTGCTGATTTTTCTTTTGAAATAGCTAGTGCTGCGGTTTCCTCGGCTACCTTCTTCGTCCTGGAGCAGCCAGAAGACCTGGGGGCTATGCCGGCTGGCCCCCACAAAGGCCGGCGACCGGCCAGCATGTGGCAATGGGAGGCTCATGCACGGCTAGTTGGCCTCGGGCTACGTTCGGTGGCCCTGCACCTGGATAACTTCGGGGCACCCTCGGCGAAACCGACACGACTGCTACTGAAGACACCTCTGGAAATGCCGGCTACCGTGCACGAAGGCCTCCCCGCTTTCGACAACGATGGCTACTATCTGGGCCCCTTGCCGGAGAGGGGGTACCGACTGTGCAGGATAAGGTGAGTTCCGGCGACCTCGACTATGTTACAAACCAACCAGAGGGCCCACGGCTACATGGTGGCACGGGACCCCCCCGCCGATGCCATCAAAACGACGGGATAAAGGAGTTCCACGACGGTGGCGGGCTATGCTCTCCTGGGCGCTGGCCCCGACACTCTCGTGGACATGCCGCGGGCGAGTCCTGGGACTGGCTGAGGGCTAAGATCCGGGAGATGGTAACCAGGCGAGTGGGATCCGAGAACGAGCTGGAGAAGGAGGCCTTCCGAATGGCTATGGGAGGCGAGTCGGCCTGCAAGCTCGTCCGGGATAGCCAACTACACGAAGAGCTACTGCAACTCCTGCAAGTTTGGATAGAAGGTCAGGACCTCAGCGAACCTGGCCTACTGGATATTCCTCCTGGGCAGCCCCTTCGTCTACGGCTACTTCGTGCGATCCTCGAGGCGGCAGGCGACCCGGATAGGGACTTCCTCCGTCGGGCCGAGGAGGGACTCCCCCTTGGGATATTGGAGGGGCTACCCAGAACACCGCACGTGTTCGAGGAGCAATCCTCCTGGAGGCTAGACAACGCCCCTTGGGAGCCGGCGCTAGCATGGGTCCCGAATTATTCCTCGGTTAGCGACCACAGGGATTTTGTGCGGGCTAAGTTCGACGAGGACGTCGAGGAAGGCCTCATGGAGAGGATGACCCTCGGCGAGTTCAAGGCGAGGTTCGGCGAGGACCGGGCTATCGCCTCCCTGGCCGTGATAGTCGAGGACGAGGAGAAGGACAAGAAGCGGATAATCCACGACGCGACCCACGGCGTCCGGGTTAACCACCGGATACGCTGTCGGGATAAGATCCGGGCGCCAGGGGCTAGAGAAAAGAAGCAAATCCTCCGAGAGCTGATACGCTGTGGCGAGATTGCCTTTTCGGTCGTGGGGGATATCTCGAAGGCCCACCGGAGATACAAACACCAGGCTAGCGAGCACGGCTTCATGGGCTGCCAGATAGACACCGAGGAGACGATCCCCGGGGACCCGGATAGCCAGATCGTCTACGTCAACAAAGTGGGCACGTTCGGACTCTCGCCGGCTAGCTACTGGTGGACCCGGATAGTCGCATGTGGGCTACGGGCAACCCATCATCTGTTGGGCCCCGGCTATCCCATCGACCTCCTTCTATATGCCGATGACCTCGAGGCCCTGGGGATAGGAACGGAGGGGAGGAAGGGTATCCCGTTGAGCTACCTTTTCCTCTCTGTTCTGGGATATCCTTTCAAATGGGCGAAGACTCGTGGTGGCTATAGGGTGGCGTGGCTGGGAATGGAGACAGAGTACTCCTCCTACAGGCTAGGGATGTCCAAGAAGCGGGCGTCCTGGCTATCGGCGTGGCTAAACGACAAGGTGACCTTCGGCAAAGTCACGGCCAAGGAGATGCAGCAGGGGCTAGGTCGGCTAGGCTTTGCTGCGATAGCCTTCAGAGGCCCTTCTTGGGGCCGCTCCACGCGTGGAGCGCAGCCATTCAAGGGAAGTCCGGCTACCTCATCATCCCGACGATGCTCCGGGTGCTGATGCGGTGGCTAGCCGACAAGCTTGACCAGGGAGAGAGGCTACAGCGTCCCGTGACTCTCTACGCCGGGCTACCTCCACTGAGCTTTTTCACGGATGCTAAAGCTGAGTCCGATAGGGCCTGGATAGGGGGCTTCCTGGAGATTTCCGGAGGGAAGCCAGGTCCCTGGTTTTCCCTAGAAGTGGATAGGGCCTGGGCTCCGTGGGCCTTTGCCAAAGGCGACCCCAAGAAAGTGATAGCTGCGCTAGAACTGCTAGCGACCCTCGTGGGGATACGTCTCTGGGTCCCCGAGGGCGAGGATAGGAAGACCTCGCGAGTGGCCATCCGCGGCTATACGGATAACAAGTCCAATGAGGCACTTGTGAAGAAGGCTATGACGACAAAGTATCCCTCCATGCTAGTTTTAATGGAGATAGCAGAAGAGCTATCCCAGAAAAACTGTGAGCTACAGCTCCAGTGGATACGGAGAGACATCAACCAGCTAGCGGATGACCTCACGAACGAGGAGTTCAAGGAATTCGATCCCTCTCAGAGGATAGATCTGAAAGGAGAGGAATGCCAGTGGCGTGTTCTGGGCCGGCTACTCGCGCATGCAGATAGCTTCTACCAGGAGCTAGGCACGCGAAAGCGAGGGACCCCGGATAGGGTGTCCAAGTTTAGCCGTAAGGCCAGAAAGCTAGATCCCTGGTAGCCTGAGTGGCGATGCGTGGGGATAGATAGCCGAAGGCTATAGTTATCTCCAGGCAACCTGGGATAGTTGCCACTCCAGACAAAAGAACGTCCGTGCTAGCTGTGTTGCTTGTCCGTCTGGTCGTCGCTCGGCTAGCTCGCTAGCTATCTACTTTCGCACTACTATCGTCCTGGTGGAGATCCGGGGATGGTGGTGGGATATAGGAGCTAGTGCACGTACCTCGTGACGAGGAACGAGTTACGACTATGTGTGCTAGCTTACCTATTACTACTCGAAGCTAGCGAAGGTAGCTTCGCTAGAAACGAAGTTTCGTTCGCTATCGTCGCTCGCAGGAGAGTTGCCTCTGACATGCGAAGACAGGATAGCTGTGACTTGGAATGGCTACGACGGTGTGTGACCGTTGCCATTCTGGATAAAGTCCCCCATCAGGGGGGGTAATTTTGAAGTACCCACCCTGCCCACCCTGGGGATAGATAGCCGAAGGCTATCAGTTATCTCCAGGCAACCTGGGATAGTTGCCACTCCAGACAAAAGAACGTCCGCGCTAGCTGTGTTGCTTGTCCGTCTGGTCGTCGCTCGGCTAGCTCGCTAGCTATCTACTTTCGCACTACTATCGTCCTGGTGGAGATCCGGGGATGGTGGTGGGATATAGGAGCTAGTGCACGCATTGTTATACGTAATACGAGTTAAGATTTGAGCTTGCCGGTTGTGGGGTTTAGGCTCTAGGACTCTAGGTTTTGGCTTCAGGTTTTATGCTTTATAGGGTTTGATATAGTTCGGGGTCCCCCATAAGCTTAAACCCGGAGCCCAGTATCCCCCGACCTTTCCGCATCCGATCCGCGGTTTCGATAATGGCCGCCTCCGATAAAACCGCGGTCCTGAAAGCTTTCATCTTCAGCTGCCCTAGATTCTGCTTAGATTCCTACAGTATCAACTGATACATGTTCCGACCTTATTAGAATCAATTCCGCTTGTGTCAGGAGCTTCGGCGTGGTCTTTGTTCTTCTTTGGGTCTAAGCTTAGGGGCTCAGATTTAAGGTTAAGGCTCTTAAGGTCCCAAGCTGTTGGAATACGAGAAGAAGGCTTGTGATCGAACCTAGCTGCTGCTGCTTGCTGGGTGCTATTATCTCACGATAATCGGAGTTAGCTGGGGACTTTTGGGGAGCTTGGCAACAGGCCGGCATCCTCAATCGCACGCTGATGCATCTTGTGTCGGAACAAACAGATGATGCTACTGTCCACGCTTGAGGTTTCTGCAGACAATCCATATAGCGAGATGTGTTCAAGATCAGTTGCAGGTTGCACCCTTAGGTCCACGTGTTGTGCAATGACCCTTATTGACGTCACTATTAGAAAGCTGATGCAAGAGCCTGTGGTGCTGTAGGTCTGAGTGCGAGGTATCCCAGGCAAGATGTTTCCCGAGTCGTGCAGTCAGGGCATCATGTGAGCAGATTTTGGGAGACGCTGCAGGGTTTGGGGCCGAAGATCTTCTGTGAAGTTCTAGTTTCTGCGCCGATTAGATCAAACAGTGCTGCTACAATCACAATGATCGAGTTTAGATCCTATCGTCAAACCTAGAACCGAAACCCTCCTCCGAAATCCCCAATCCCGACCCCAACGTTTAAAGGCCCTGAACTCCTAAACCCGCCGTTTACAGTGATGTTCGCAGCTCCTGCCCGATGCAGCTGCTGATCGCACGCCCTCGGCTGGATGTCTCTGAAACGAGCACGGGCCCAGCTTTCGGGTTCTGGCTATGGGCTTGAAGACTTCTGGGTTGATGAAGATGACAAAGCTGCTTCAGCCGCTGCTGGTGCTAAGTTTAGAAGCTTTCTTCTGGAAAGATACACCGAGGGCACGTTTACTGCAACCGACACTTGCCTTCTGGCCTACTACCATACCGAAAGTGGGGGTGAAGGCGCCGAAGATCTAGCCCTAGCACCAGACCAAGCCTCGACTCATGGATCCGAACACTTGAAGTGCCTCAAGCTGCAATTGATTCTCCAAAACACCTATTAGAAATGTCTAAACAAACCCCACCCTAAAACCCAAGCTAACAAGCATTTCTATTATTATCGTGGTGATGAATATTCCTCCCAAATCTAGTTCCGGATGAAACCGACAACAACACCACATTCTGTAAGGTACCACCTTCGAAAGGAGTTTCCGGAACCTCGTGTACAGTGGGTTACAGTTCCTATGAATACGAAGGCCCAGCTTGTCAGGACTCCCATGAAGCACCCCGTTCGTGTTGCCTCCGATATGATTCGTGATGAGCTGAAAGCCTTGAACCTGCTAGGGAAATCAAATCCTTGCAAAGAAACTGTGGCTACGTTCCTTGAGAATGATACAGCTCTCGGCGACCGGTACGAGAAGCACCCCGTCACAGTGCAAGCCCTGAACGAAGGGATTCCCCGAGAACGTATTGTGCCTTTGTCTGTGTACTTCGACGGTGTCCAGTACACCAAGAACAAGAATTTTTTGGGATTTTATATTACGAATCTACGGACTCCAAAACAACAACGATTGGTATGGCTGCTGAGTGCCTTGCTCTCCAATAATAATCGCTTTAGGGTTTATAGGTAGGGCTTACGGTATCCAGGGTTCAAGGGCCCAATCGAGTCCCAATGATATGGTTATTTTGGCAGGACTCTCGGATTTATGCCAATGCGGCTGCCGGGGCTGGTGCTCCGTGTGAAGGGCTCGGAGGCACCTCACGTGTCCAAACCTTGATTTTTGAACTTGAATCAACAACTTGAACAGTTTTGTTAGTTTCGAAGCATAAAACTTTTCGGTGCCAGCCCCAAACCGAGGTCTGGAACCTCACGCTTACGATGCTGTCGGACAAGCACGTGAAGGCCAAAGCGGCCGAGACGCACGGATTGCTTGCATTCGTGTGTGAGATGTTGGCCAAATACAAAGCTCGTTTGTCGACCAGCGGCAGCGAGCAGGATCAGTTGTTTTTTGAGCTGGCGACACACGCTGGGCAAAGTGCCATGGCTTTCGATGCTGTCATGGCCAGACATGGCCGGGATATCAATGCGGCAGTTTCTGGGGAGATGCTGATGCATTACGACCGCTTCATCGTTCTGTGCAGTCGTGCTGGCTTTCCGCTGCTTCCTAAAGGCCATCTGATGTACCACTGCATCCAGAGGTCTGTCTTGCAGGGCAACCCACGGACATATTCGACATATGTTGACGAAAGCTACAACGGGGCGATCGCTCGAGTCTGTCGGTCAGTGCACAGGCGAGGGTGGGCTTGGGCGGTGTACCGCAAACTTCAGATTTTGGAGGCCGTCAAGGCCGCTGCTCGGACTGGTGATGGCATGAATTGCTCTGGAGGCACGTTTTCAAACTTTAAGACGAATCCGAAGATAAGGGCTGTCGGCATCGTTTCCTTTTTGTTTGTTTTCCCCTGAACCCTAAACTCTAAACCCTACTCTAACCTGATGCTTGGGTGTAGACAAGTGTAGAAACACTTGGATCGCCGCACCATGACTTAATCTTTTCCAATGAAAACCGAAGCTGTTCAGGCTTAGGATGGTCTAGGGCTCATGTGTTTTGGGGTTTGCTTTACATTTGGGATATCGTGGCAGTAGTCCGCATCATATTTCGCCTTCTCAAACCCAAACAGCAACACTTATCTTGGTGCATGAGTCTGTAAACTTCTTGCCGCAGGATGAGCGACAAAGTGCAAGGTCGATGCTACAGCTCCTCCGGCTTTTGAGGTCTAGATCTCACCTCGCGATGTGTTCTGTGGGCCAACAAATTATAGTTCAAATATTGTTGGGCTTAGGGTCAATTTAAAGATGCTTCCCGAAAGCCCCAGTGCACATCGTAACTGCCAAGCTGCATGCATCAGCGCCGAGCGCCAGCAGCGACAAATTTTGATCGAAGGGCCGAGCTGGTTTAAGGTAGGGTCTCGGGCGGGCGAGGCTTCTGCTACATTCTAGCCAGCTTCGTTGCTTCGAAGATCAAGCTTGGTATATAAATGTGTTGAACTGTATCCAAGTCTTCAGAGCCTACCAGCAACTGAGCCATTCATTCGGGGCCCAAACAGGAATCCGTTTCAAAGGGTTTAATAAAGTGTAGGGCTCTTGGGGTTTAGTGTTTCTGCTTAGGTTCCAGGGCTTAAGGCTTGGCCAAACCCCCGAGTGCAACACCAAGCCCGAACATCAACGCCGCAGCCCAGAAACCGAAGCTCAAACCCGGTAACTTCAAAAGACCTGGGAACTCCCAAGCCCGAAACCTTAAACCGAGTATCAAGGCCAAAGTTCCGATCCCTACTTGAAAGTGTTGAGTTAGAAACAGAAACCCTCAGCCTCAAGTTTCCTGAGCACCGAAAAGAGCCCCAAAACTCAAACCTGCGACGATTTGCGAATCAGAAGCCAAAGTTCCGTCCCAAACCCCGAACCTTTGGTAAACTCTAAACCTTCAGCTCCATAAGCCCTACGAAAGCCCCAACCTG